ATTGGATCGCGGACTTCAAAAGTCGCCTGCAACAACTCGACTCGATTACAAATGAGACAAACTTCCAAGACTTGCAAGTATGGCTCGGTGGCCTATTCATGCCCGAAGCCTACATAACAGCTACGCGTCAAGCCGTCGCACAAAAGAACACCTGGTCACTAGAAGACCTCAAACTGGAAGTCGACATCAACAAGAATGACGATGATAGCGCGTTTATTGTTTCCGGTCTTAAATTAGAAGGTGCACGATGGGAAAATGATCAATTGCAACTTACCTCGGCCCCGTCTACCAAACTTGAGCTCACGCAGATACGATGGGTATTGAAACAAAGTGTGGCTGCTGTTAAACCTGATGATGTGGTTCTACCGGTATATCTTAATTCGGACCGCAGCGAGTTGTTGTTCACTATTTCAGTGAATAGTCAAGCTTCAAAATATAAGATTGCGCAACGTGCTGTTGCTTTGGTTATTTGGTAGATTATAATAGTTTCATAATGTATTTATCGATCAGATTCCCTTTTTTTGATGTATTATTTATTAATTTGATTCTTCATAACAATCTTGAATTTTTTTATTAATCTTTCGAGAATGAATTATCTTTATTTACAAATTTATTGTTTTATTATCGAAAATTTTAAATCATAGTAAATTTAATGTACAATAAATTAATCAATTTATTGAAATGATTTTACCAAAATGTGAAATTTCATTTTCTTGCGAGAATAATATGATTTCCAATTATCAATTAATGTTCTCAAAGAACAGTTAGTATAACTTTTCCTACAATACTAATTGATCGAATTAATCTAAAAAGCTTTGTTTGCCTAAAATATCCAAGATATCAATAATGACAAGCGCGAGCTCTTCCCACACTCATAATAAAAAATTTTTTCACTGTAAAAACTTCATTACATATTAAGAATTTCCTCTTTTTCATCTCTCAAAAACGTCCTATGACATAAACTGATTTCCGCAATTTTATCTTAACTGTTAATTGGCACACAAGAAAACTGAACTATTCAATCCTTGGCATAGAAATTGTGTGACTCATTTTTCTCATGTAATGGTGATCATTCTTAAAAATCATTTAACTTTAATAAAAATCATGCGTCCAAATCTTATCTATTCTCCAATAGTTTTATGTGACTATCCAACTGATGAGGGCGCGCGTGTGATAATGATTTCCTAAAACGGTCGACAAAACGATTTGTCAATAATGTAAAATATGAGCCTAAAAATATTGGATCGCCTTTTTTTATTTGGGTATACAATACAAAAAACACACACTAACAATAAATATTTATCATATGCATAGTGTCATGATGTGGCTGATGTTTCTTTGACGGATGGCGTTGAATGGTGGCGAAACAACTCAAAAGAAATAAAAAAGAATTTTCGTGACATTTTATGCATCGTTCGTACACACATGCAAAAGTGGTTGGAGGGAAAAAATGCTCAGTTTGTTATTATCGTAAGATAAATGCTAGAAGATTCGAGAGTGATCGGTTGTTTTAATAATTTAATTCTTATCGAGTTACGCGTCGCTTGAGTTTTTTTGTTCCAAGAGTTTCTTTGATAATAAATACATGTAGACGTTACGCGTCATACATAACATCTCATCATCAACATTATTATTTTTATTTATGTCATAACAATAAGAATGGAAATGACAAAGAAAAAATAGGCAAAAAAACATTATACACAAGATATATAACATAAATATATATTAAATATATATTATATATATATATATATATATATATATTATGCACCTATTTATCATTATTTGTCACCACTGTTTTTTGTATTATCACTTGAATAAAAATAAAAAATAATAATGTGATGCATTATTTTGATGGGATTTTCACGTATACAAAAATTTTGATATAATGAAATCACCTTTGAAACATTAGTTCGTTTCGTTATGGTGAACAGTAATTTCGATATAAGGAAACTTTCATATCACCCGGAAGGTTCATTATATCGCCTTTGTACACAACAAAACGTCATAGCGATAAGACTGCACGCGAAGCACAATACTGCGGGATTCCTCTTGTTAAAAGAAAAAATTAAATATGCTTGTTTTGTATCAAACTCACTCTGATTCATAATTAAAATGATAGCAGTCATCGTCAGCAGTAAATTTTATTATACAATGCATAAATCGCCACGACTTCAGCTGCTACTACTGTAACGAGTCATCTGTTTCTTTATGCGATTCCCTTAAATGGTAAACATCAATAATTGATCGAATTTATTATTTATCCATTAGTAATCTTGTAAAATGGAATGAGAGAAATGAGAGTTGGGTTGATACGCTATTTTACTTACTTTGTGTGTCACCTACTAAAAAATAATTTTGTGTAATAACCGAAATTTTTGAAAATTTCAACGAATAAGCATTAACGTTAACCTTAATCATCAACAAAACAATTTAAGAATGATAACGTGAATAACAAGATATCTTGGGATTCACATATTAATATATCGGATCTGAACTCCGATACATTAATCTCCTTTGATAGTTTTCGATTATATTTTATATCGCCAAATATACGTGTCAGTTATGTAATGATCTCCCAGTTAAGAGCTTACATTTGCTTGTTATCATCTATCTTCCATACAATTTCATCCAAATAACACACAAATTTAAATTATATTACTCAAAAATTCCCCAAAAATAGAATTTCTAAACAAAAAAAACGTGTGCGTGACACAGAAAAATGATTATAATAAAATACGTGTTCGCTCCAAAATTAGACTATCCAATTTTCATAATCGAAGAGCCCAAGTAGTACACATTCTTTCAACACACATGATATAATACATTGATACATATGTGCTACAACCAAACTCATTTATAAGATTTTATCACACTTATCACAAACGATGATATTTATCGTACAACCTCAAAATAATGGACTTTTTGCTGCGCATAATAAAAGTGTTTTGCCTAGACACTAACGACTTTTGTTCCGCAGTAATAAACTGTCGACGAAAACGAAGCAGCTTTAACTAGAATAAGTAAGTCGTACGATGCTGTTGTACATTTAGGATATGATTATTGGGTTTCATTCATAATGACGACGACGCCACTTATTGAATTCAAAAAATGGAAAGTCACGTCTCTTAGATTGTACAAACCCCAGAAGAGAGACAGGACAAATTAATTTGATCTTTGATCTTTTTTGACCTTCTAATTGGTCCTCTTCATTCTGCGCAGAACTTCTCTTTTATGCATCTAATTTTACGACGCTACCTACAAAATATTAAAGTCCCGACCGTCTGTCTTTTGATTAGTCAAATCATAATCAGTAAAAGCATACACACACGAATACACAGCCTCATTTAATGTGCAACTTTTGGGTTAGAAGGTAATTACTTTATCATTATCGTTATGTGTCAAAAAGTGTTTGATCTTTTTTTAGATTTTCCATGGGGGTGGGTCAGACAAAAAAATAGACAGACTAATTCGGTTAACGGGGAGAAATTCCCGCTGTTTGATTAAGCACACAAATTTTGAAAGAGGAGGGACGTTTCATTGGCTTTGATTGTTACTTTCAATGCTTGAAATAAATTTCGTCTTACTACTCAAGCTAAAAATTATTTCGAACTACAATATTGAATTATTGTATCCATTAAATTCACATGCATCTGAACTGTTTGAGTTTGGAACCATCAAAAAAATAAATTTTTGATTCGGAGTTATATACTCCATAGTGTAACTACTCAATCAAATCAATCAATGTGACATAAAAATGATTTGATATCACTTTTTGTTTGTTAAGTCACACATAATCAAATTGACCTTTTTTTCCACCCACCCGCATAAGTGATTATTTTTGCTTTTTATATATATATATATATATATATATATATATATATATATATATAATTAATATAGTATTAATCAGTAATTACTATTATTATTATTATTATTTAATCATCGAATATTTTTTAATGTCTCAATCAACAGTTCATAAATATCTATATAATAATAAATATTACCATCACTATTATCAGAGATAAACCATCGTTATATAAATACTTGCAAATAAACAGCTACCCAAGTTTTTCTTTCCTTTCCTTTACCCTACCAACAACTTATATTTTCATATTGTTTGTTCATTGAAAGGGAGAAACGAGAAAAAAAGCATTTTATTTCCGATTTTCTTAATTTTTTTATTTACTCCTACAACGATTCAGTCGTGTATATATTGTAAATATCTTTTGGGAGAGGATTTTTTTCCACAAGACAAACGTGCTATTACTGATTTAGCGTATAGTTTAGTGTACATTCAAAATAACAATAATCATTTACACTAGTAGTATTTCGGAATTATTTTATTATCACAAAAAAGTTTCGCTTAGTAGTATTATTACATTGAATAATAATAATAATATTTATTATTGTTATTATAGAAAGAGAAAAAAACGAGTGCACCAACGATTAAAGAAATAGAGCTCAACATTTTCTCTATTCTTGATTTTTTTCCTTTATTCTTGCTCCCAAAGAGATAAAATAACATTCGGTGCTTTCGCTCTTAAAAGAGCAAAAGCGCAAAGCTTTACAAAGTAAGATTTACCATAAGTTTTATAAATACTATTATTTATTTCATAAATAATATAATAATAGTATAATATCGTATTAATAAATTAATATATTATACTATTAGGACCTTTCAAAGCTTCAGTTCTATTCTCAGCAACGTCCGATCAACAGCAAAAGTTCACGAGGACGATTTAATTTAATCACCATTATTATTATTACATCAATAGCAAATAACAACGACATCAACACCCACAACCACCACCACATTTTCGATCATTCAATGAATTTGTACACACACCCCCAAGACAGCAACAATATCGATAACAACGATAACATTTTAAATAATTCCGAGGACTTTGTTATTTACCCTAGTGAAAATTTTAATAATCCTAATTATAGTAATAATAATGAAGAATCTCTTAATAATCTCACCATCGGTGAAAATAATGATGTTATCCGCGTAAATCAAGTTGCTTCTACATTCAACCATAACGAAAACAACAATTTTGTTGGTAACGACGCCAGCCTCTTTAGCGAGAGTTTCGATAGTTTTCCATATACGGCTACAACCACTCCATATCATAGACCATACGGGAATTTTAATAACAACGAAGACGGTGAAAACGATACATCTGCTGTTTTTAACTTACTCGGCAGTAATAATCATAACGACATTGAACAACTTATCGTCTCTCTTGCATCTGCCACCACTACACCATTTTTCGGTAATTTAGGCGACGATTTTGGTACAAGTCCAACTACTAATAATATTGTTAGTAGTAGAAATAATATCATTAATACTTTGGGACACGGTGGTGGATATAATTCCGTTACGACGACTCCT